TTTTTTTTGAACCAAGCAACTCGATATGGCCTTGGGTGTGGTTGGATTTTAAGATTCATTTTCGTCACCATTTATCTTGATATTAATTTTCACAGCTTCCCCCGTCAAAGATAACATTGCATAGATGCCCATGAGAAGATCACCGTGTTCAAAAGATGTTAGTCCGCAACAAGTCGTCCTCTGTAGCTTTTGGTGTTAGCATTGCACGACGCACCACCAGATTTGGAAAATCTTGGTCTTCAAAAGTAACATCCTCTTCTGTGAAATTCAGCAACCCTTCATCTTCATTTGTATCATCATATTTTTCCTCATTATTAATTGCATCTTCATCAACCAGTAAGTTGCTTGTAGCTCTTCGGCAATCAGAAGACTTGTGCACCTCTTTTCCACACTTATAGCATATTATTTTGTTCTCCACAAACTGAGAAGTTGTAGAGCTGTTTGAATTGACTACCCCCCGCTCCCGAATGATGCCACGACCATGAGAATTAGAAGCTGTTCCATTTTTCTACACGTCATTAGAAACTGCACCAAGCTTCTGCCCATTGTTTCTCCTCCATTGATCAGCTGCCATTTGGAATAGCTCTTTAGAAATTTGATGGGGACGATTGTTGAATGATCGTGCCAGCTGAGCTTCCACCTTTAATGCCAACTGCATTGTGCTAGGTAAAGTCCAACATGGTTGCAATTCCATCAGCTTCCAGACACTGGCTTCAAACCCATTAGATAACGATGGATTACCCGTGTTTCAGATTCAGTCAGGTGTACATGAGTTCGCATCTTTTAAAAAAAATTTACTCTTGAATGGATAGAGATCCTTGTGTAAGTGATTGATAATTCTCAAATAGAATTCCTACGTAATTTAAACAGAGGAATTGTTTTCGAACCAATTATTAGAAACAATACTATTTGTATAATTAAAACACGGTTAGCATGTTAGTAATGCCAGCTGGATGTTAGTTGTGCCAACTGGATGTTAGTGGTGTTGTTAGTTACTTTTGGCGCCTATTTACATTATATAAACTCAGTCATTCCATGTGATTTCAGATGAATAATATTTCAGCAGTTTATAGTTCATATTGGCTCTAATATGGTATCAGAGCATATACCTTCCAGCTTTCATCTTCTTCTTCGTCATTTGTAAAATTCACACCTGCAATTCTGTTAGAATGGAATCAGCATCATTTGAAGCTAACTCCGATGTGCATTCATCCATGAGCAAGTCCACCATTGATGAACCATCAAGTCCGTATTTCCTTCACCATTCAGATAGTCCTAGATTGGTGCTTGTTTCTCAACTATTAACAGGTGAAAATTACCCCTCATGGAGCCGTGCAATGATCATTGCACTTTCGGTGAAAAACAAACTATCATTCATTGATGGATCTATCAAGAAACCAGAAGCTGCAAGTCCTGATTTGATCAATTCATGGATTCGAAACAATAATATGGTCATATCATGGATACTCAACTCGGTTTCAAAGGAAATTTCAGCTAGCATTATCTAGGCATCTACAGCTCACGAGATCTGGCATGATCTCAAAGAATGATTTCAACAAAGCAATGGACCTCGAATTTTCCAATTGAGGAAAGATCTGATGAGTCTAACTCAAGATCAAAGAAGCATAAGTGTGTATGTTACAAAATTGAAGACTGTGTGGGAAGAGTTAAGTAACTTTCGACCAAATTGCAACTGTGGAAAGTGTACATGCGGTGGAATTAAGGAGATAAACAAATACTATCAGATGGAATACATCATGTCATTCCTTATGGGGCTGAATGAGTCGTTCTCCCAAGCTAGAGGCCAGATCCTACTTATGGATCCCATACCACCAATTAATAAAGTTTTTGCACTAATGGTACAGGAAGAAAATCAAAGGAAATTGAGTGCACAATCGGTGGGAAAGATGTAAATGGTGCTACTGCATTTGCGGTAAAATCTGACAATATGAAGCCAATGATGAACTTTGGTTCTCGTTATGATGGAAATAGGACCAGAAATTTTACGAATGTTAAAAGGAAGAAAAGGCCCTACTATACTCATTGTAAGTACCATGGACATTCAGTTGATAAATTTTACAAGATCCATGGGTGTCCACCAGGATATAAGTCAAAATCAAGGGATAACTTCCAAAACTATTCTGCAAATAATCCTGTTAATCAGCTGTCAACCATTCATCAAATGGATCAGCAACCTAGCATGGAGAATTTTATGCAAAACCTCAATTCCAGTCAATATCAACAACTGATGAATGTGCTATCAAGTCACTTAGCTTCAAGTTCAAACACTCCTTCCATTGATCAAGACAAATAGAATAATTCGGGAGCTACAGGTATTTGTCACTCCATATCTGATAATCTTGTCTTTGCTAATAAAGAGACATGGATAGTGGACTCAAGGGCCACTAAACATGTATGCTGTACTGGTGATGCCTTTATGACACTAAGAAAGGTTGATAATGCAAGTATCACTCTACCAAATCACACGCGAATAACAGTCAACCTATGTGGAGATATCAGACTAAGCCCTAAACTGGTGCTACATGATGTTCTATTCGTACCACAATTCAAACTGAATTTGTTATCCGTCAGTGCATTGACTATTGGTTCACACCTCACATTAAATTTTTCTCATGATCAATTTCTCATTCAGGAGACTACAACCAAGAGGATGATTGGCAAGGGTGATAAAGTGCACGAGTTGTATGTACTTCATACAAGAGATCTTGATTCATTTTCAAATAACTTTGTTGGTAATGTTTCTGCCCATATATAGCATAACAGACTTGGACATTTGTCTTTTAAACATTTAGATGTATTAAAAGATCAAGTAGCTTGTGATGTTTTGAAGTTGAATAGGCAGCTTCCTTGTTATATTTGTCCTACTGCTAAACAACGAAGACTATCATTTGTGTCAAATAATAAACTATCCAGCAAGCCGTTTGATCTATTGCATTGTAATATATGGGAGCCATATCACTTTCCGTCACACTTCGAGCACAAATATTTTTTAACCTTAGTTGATGATTGTTCCAGATTTACTTGGATATATATGTTGCGTCAAAAATCTGATGCTGCAAAGGTTGTGCATCGTTTCTTCAGTATGATTGCCACACAATTTGGTGCACAGATTAAAAATTTCAGGTCAGATGATGCACATGAGTTGTCTTTCAAAGAGTTCTTTGCTGAAAAAGGAGTTTTGCACCAATTTAGTTGCGTTGAAAGACCTCAACAAAACTCAGTTGTGGAACGAAAACATCAGCACCTTCTAAATGTTGCCCGAGCCTTGTTCTTCCAGTCTAGAATCCCTATTAATTTTTGGTCTGAATGTGTATTAATAGCAGCTTATCTCATCAATAGAACCACTTCTCCTATCTTACACCACAAAACACCTCATGAGATCTTATATGACAAACCTGCTGATTATTCCAACCTTCGAGTCTTTTGGTGTTTAGGTTTTGCATCCACACTCACAGCACACAGAATTAAATTTCAACCACGAGTCAAGTTGTGTGTATTCTTAGGCAACCCTTCAGGAGTAAAGGGATACAAACTACTTGATGTTGCATCAAAACAAATTTTTTTATCCAGAGATGTTTTTCATGAGGAAATATTCCCTTGTCATACCATTGTAGAGTCTGATCAAATACTAGATCCTTTTCCTGATCTAGTATTGCCATCTCCTACATTATCTACTCATCTTGATTTACCCGTCCAACCAAACTAGATTCAACCTAATCCTAATACACAGCTTGCTGATCCTAATTGCACTTCTTCTACTGGGAAAAATCATCCTATACAGCTTCATAATTCTGATTCCACTGATCAACCACATTCCATCGAACCATCTGGTCATGATATTTGAAAATCCAAAAGATCCACCAGACCTCCAAAATACCTTCTTGACTATCACTGTAATCTGATCTCCCAATTTCATCACTATGCTCCACCATCCCCATACCACATTGGTCATTTCATTTCTTATCAAAAGCTGTCTAAGCATCACAGACATTTCACATTATCTATTTCATCTCAGTTTGAGCCTCAATTCTTCCATCAAGCTGTCAAATTACCTCATGGCGAGAAGCAATGAAGCTTGAATTGGATGCCATGGAAAACAACCACACTTGGTCTGTTGTGCCTCTACCTCCTGGGAAGCACTCTATAGGCTGCAGATGGATTTTTAAGAACAAATACAAATCAGATGGTTCACTCAAAAGGCACAAGGCACGTCTCGTTGCAAAAGGTTACACCCAACAAGAGGGGTTAGATTACTTTGACACCTTCTCTCCAGTGGCCAAAAATGTTACTGTTAAAGTGTTACTCACTCTTGCAGCCCAATTTAACTGGCACCTGGTCCAGTTAGATGTAAATAATGTTTTTTTAAATGGTGATTTATTTGAGGAAGTTTACATGGATTTGCTGCTTGGGTATGACTTACTTAGGCCATCTAAACAGGGGGAGAAACTCATTTGCAAACTACATAAATCCATCTATGGACTTAAACAAGCCTCTAGACAATAAAATTCGAAGTTTACTTTGGCTCTACTACAACATGGTTTCACCCAATCTAAGGCAGACTACTCCTTATTCACTAAAGGCTCTGAAGATAACTTTGTAGCCTTGTTGGTTTATGTGGATGACATTGTCATCACTGGACCAAATGTTCAGGTTATGAACTCCTTAAAGACATTTCTACACTCTCAATTCAAGCTCAAAGATCTGGGTTGCTTGAAATACTTCTTGGGGATAGAAAGTGCTCGGTCATCATCAGGAGTTGTTATATCACAAAGACAATATGCAATGCAGTTGCTTGAAGATGCCGATTACCTAGACAGCAAACCAGTTAACAGCCCTATGGAACCAAGATCAGCTCTCAGCATATATGAGGGAAATTTAATTCCAGATGCCTTTCATTACCAATGGCTAATTGGGAAATTGATATACTTGACACTTCACGACCTGCCATCACTTTTACGGTACATAAATTGAGTCGATACATGTCTCAACCAAGGATGCCACACCTAAAGGCAGTTCACCACCTACTACGATACTTGAAGGGCAACCCTGAACAGGGTATTTTCTTTTCATCACATTTGCATTCTAATCCAATTATTCCAGTTCGAGCCTTATCGGATGCTGATTGGGGATCGTGCATTGATACAAGAAAGTCTACCACCGGTTTTTATATATTTGTTGGCAACTCTATGGTCTCTTGGAAGTCAAAGAAACAACCAACCATATCTCGTTCATCTGCTAAAGCGGAATATAGGGCACTTGCCTCCACTGTCAGTGAGATCCTTTGGATCAACCAATTGTGAAAAGACTTTCAGTTTAATGTTTCATCTCCTGCCATGCTATATTGTGACAACCATGCTGCAATTCAGATTGCCACTAACCCAATTTTTCACGAGAGAACAAAACACATTGAAATTGATTGTCACTTCATTCGTGACAAAATCAGTGTTGGGATCATTAAACTTCTACCAGTTCGTTCAAAACATCAGCTTGCAAACATCTTCACCAAGCCACTGCCTCCATCCAGCCTTACTCCTTTACTGTCCAAGATGTGTGTAAAAGATATTTACAACACATCTTGAGGGAGAGTATTAGAAGCAATACTATTTGTATAGTTAGAACACGGTTAGCATTTTAGTAATGCCGGCTGGATGTTAGTTGTGCCAGTTGGATGTTAGTTGTGTTGTGAGTTACTTTTGGTGCCTATTTATATTGTATAAACTCAATCATTCCATGTGATTTCAGATGAATAATATTTCAGCAGTTTATAGTTCATATTGGTTCTAATACCAATCGTTGCATCTTGTCCCAAGTCCTGATCTTGTCCTTGCCTGATTGAACCCTCATCATTTGAAGTTGCTGCCACCAAGACGATGCATAGCCTTTAAATCTGATGGCTACCATCTTAACTTCTTGCTGTCCATTGGCTCAAGATATTCAAAAATCCTTTCAACTTCATTTAGACAGTCCAAAGTGTCCTCGAGTTGTTCTTCTCCAGTGAAATCTGGTATATCCAGCCTAATACGTGGACTTTGATCTCCTTCAGTGTTGTAATTAGCAATAGGACGTCGCAAATTTTGAAAATCAGCTTCTTCGTCAGAATCATGCTCAAGAGTGGGTTTTTGTTGTTGTTGATATCTCCCTTGTGCAAGATTGCTCTCTTCTATTCACACATTGATTTACACGCAGTGGTTGGCCTCTTTGTTCTCCAATAGTCTGAGCAGGAGGTCCCTGCAATCCGAATTGCTCTAATCTGGTGCATAATTCAATAAATTGTTGCTGAAACTATTGCTGAAGGTTCACCAGATCAGCCTTGGTCACCGGATTTGTGTCATTTTGATCTTGCTCCAAATTTCAACATCCTGCCATATCTCTGCAATCTCACAGATTTTAATAATAGGGCTCTGACACCACTTGAAACAAATCTAAGTGAGCAAATACTATCAACTTGGGCAATTTCAAATTTAGAATACTCCAAACACTGTTGAAGCCAAGATTTCTTAGGGAGAAATCAAAGAAAAAAACCAAACTAAGAGATGATAATATTCAAATAAGACATTTCATTCTGCCCTTTACAATATACATAAACATTCAACGTATACTAGTTTAGGCTCCATATTACTTTTCCTAGAGACTAAATTTGCTAGACTAATAAATCTAATAATGACTCTCCAATTCCCCCATGCAACCATTTCACTGACTGACTTATTAATACATTGACTTCATTAATAATCTGTGCACTAGAAAACTCTAGAAAATTCTGCATCAATCTTACACTAGCAAGAACAGAGCTCAGATGATAAATTTTTGTCATATGTAGAATCCAATCTTAAGAGATAGTGAAACATCAACCCATTTTTCACTCTAGTGAATATAACCATAATGTTAGAGATATGACTTTCCTTGCTTATTGGTTTCCTTCTGCTTCTATTTCCTTAGGATGTATGTACAGTTTCCAATGTGATTTGATATCTATTTTATTGGTGCAGAAAAATAAAAACTTGCGTGGCAAGTATAATAAGCTTGTCATGAAGCAAAAAGGGGGAAGCCAGCTTGAGAATTGTCTACAAAAAATAGAAGTCACTAAAGCTCAAATAAAAGAATTGAGCGAAAAATACAATGACATGGCTTCTGAAATGGCCAGGAGAAAGAAGTAAGATATCATTCTAAATTAACCTATATTAATTTGTATCTAACATTTTGCATGTCTAATTCTAAATGAATTTTTGGATATATAATTGAAGGGGAGGAAGTAAGTAAAAGAGAAGATAATATTGGGAAAATGTTCTTGTATATTATATTCAGTAGGATGTGTATATATATACATGATTGCAGAGACTTACAATGGAAGGAAATAAGTTACAGTAAAGGGACATGAATAGAAATATCCCCAAATCAAGTTATGTAATATTCTGTACATTCAATCTAGGCAAGATGGCTGGGATATAATATGGAAATATGCCTAAATTGGGTCTATAATGAGCACAAGATCTGTCATCTTGTGCATGAGATGTGCATGGGATCTGGCTGGAATATGGAGGGCACAAGATTTGTCATCTTGTGCATGGAATCAGGCTTAAGTGCATGGGATCCGGCTATCATCTTGTGCATGGAATTTGGCTGGGATTTATGCATGGAATCTAGCTAGGATTCATCTCTAACATCCCCCCCCTCAAGCTAAGGGGTGGTGGAGACACCTGCATCTTATCTTTGAGGAGCAAAAACCTTGTAGCCGTGTGCCCTTTTGTGAACAAATCAGCAACTTGGCGTTTCGTTGGAATAAATTTGACCAGAATCTTGGCCCTTTAGAGAAGATTCTTGGAGAGAGGATAATTCGTGAATCCAAATTGAGTAGACTAGCTAAGGTGGCTGTTATTGTTGAGGGTGATACTTGGAGATGGCCATCAATTTGTTCCCCAGCTTTATCTGACTTAATGCGAGATACGCTTGCTACTTTTCGGCCGGATAGTAATAGAGAAGATGTATTGCGATGGGAGGTTGATGCATAGGAAGTGTTCTCTGTTCGGAGTGCTTGGGAGTCTCTTTGACTTCGCTTCCCTAAGGTAGCTTGGTATCATATTGTTTGGTTCCCTAATATATTCCACGTCATGCATTCATCATTTGGCTAGCTTTCAAGATGGCATCTATACACAGACGAAGCTTCTTCGCTTTGGTTTGGTACAATCTATGCGTTGTATGCTGTGTGATTGTTCAGTGGAGGATTTGGATCATCTTTTCTTTGCTTGTCCATTTTCTGAGCGTGTTTGGAATACTTTGCATACAAGATGTAACTTGCCTTGGGTTCAACGGCGTTGGCCAGATACTCTTTCTTGGATGGAACAATTTCTTAGGAAGTCATTGTCTTCCATCGTTATTCAGTTGATGTTTGCAGCTTCGGTTTATGCTATTTGGTGTAAGCGTAATGCTAGGACCTATGGGGAGGCTCCTAAACATGAGTCTGCTGTTATTTAAGATATTATTTTCTCTATTTGTGCACGAGTGAATTCATGTAGGGGCTTGGTTCTGTCTAATGAGAATAGGTGGCTCCAACGCTCTTGCGATTTTTCATTGAATATTTTTTATTGTCGTGATTAGGATATGAGCACTAATCTAGGTTTCAATTATTGTTGTTAGGAAGGCATTTATTCCTAGTATTGTTTCCTGGGGTATGCCCCTGTTATTTGTACTTTATTTTTACACTTTGGATATAATATACTTACCTTAGCCAAAAAAATTTTTGACCAGAATATCTCCATTAATAACTATTTCCCTGACAAAGTGATAATCGATTTCAATATGTTTGGTCCTTGCATGGAAAATGAGATTGGAGGCAAGGGCAAGAGCACTTGAATTATCACAGTAGAGAATTGGAGGTGAGGTGAGTGTAGGGGCGGACCTGGGGGGGGGATTATAAGGGCAATTGACCCTCTAGATTTTGGGGGGGAAAAAATTTTGCTTAGCTTTTTTTTATTAAAAGATACTCTATAAATTTTATTTTTGACCCCCTAACCCAAGTCGTCTAGGTCCGTCCCTGGGTGAGTGTGACATGTAGTTCTTTGAATAACATTTGGATCCAGTAAAGTTCGGCCGTGGTGATCGCCATCGCACGATTATCTGCTTTCGTGCTAGATCGAGATACAACAACTTGTTTCTTAGCACCCCCAAGAAATAAGACACGAGCCAAGAAAAATTCCAAATCCAGTAGTGGATTTTCTATCATTTGGATTGCCAGCCCAATCCACATTACTGTAAGTAGTTACTTGAAGAGAGTCACAAGTATAGAGTAAGCGATGATCGAGGGTCCCTTTTAAGTAGCGGAGCACTCTCTTGGCAGCGGTCCAATGGACAGTTATAGGGTTGTGCATATGTTGACATAATTGATTAACTGAATATACAATTTCGGGCCTTGTGATTGTACAGTATTGAAGAGCACCAACAACATGATGGTATTCAATGGGGTCCAATAAAATCTCACCATCAAATTTAGACATTTTGGGGCCTAAGACACATGGTGCATATGGTTTAGATCCAGTCATCTTGACCCAATTTAAAAGATCTAGAATATACTTTGCCTAGCATCTGTGCAAACTGTTACGTGTTCGAGTGGCTTGAATCCCTAAAAAGAAACTAAGGGGCCCAAGGTCCTTGAGAGGGAATTCCTTTTGAAGCTGCTGAATAATATCCATAATAAACCCATGATTTGTACCTGTGATAATTATGTCATCAACATAAATTAGAATAAAAATATAGATTGAGCCGGAGTGATAAGTAGAATAAGGAAGTATCCACAAGAGAGGCAGTAAAGCTAAGATCCAATAAGGCATTGGACAATCGATAGAACCAAGCTCGAGGAGCTTGTTTGAGACCATATATCGCTTTGTGAAGACGACAAACATGATTAGGAGCTTGAGGATTGATGAACCCTTGAGGTTGTTCCATGAAGAACTCTTCCATAAGATTTTCGTGTAAAAAGACATTGGAAACATCAAGTTGTTTGATCGACCATTGAAAATAAGTTGCCAAGGCAAGAACTAGCCGAATGGTGGTGGGCTTGATGACTGGGCTAAAAGTCTCAATATAGTCAACCCCACTTTTCTATTGGAAGCCTTTGGCCACAAGACGGGCTTTGAATCGGTCAATAGAACTATCAGGATGTTGTTTAATTTTATATACCCATTTTGCATGAATTATATATCGAGAGTGAGGCCGAGGACAGAGAGTCCATGTTCCATTATGAATAAGAGCATCATATTCTTGCTGCATGGCATCCATCCAATGGTGGTCAGTTTTGGCCTTAGTAAATGACGATGGTTCCACATGAGGGAGCCAGTTATGGGATGTCTGGTGGAATAATACAAAGTAAATTTTGGAAACTGGTTTGGACGAGATGTTCCTGTTTTGGATCGGGTTTGCATAGGATGATGAGGTTGAGGAGGTATGGAGGGGATCATGAGATCATCGGAGAAAGACGATGTAGATGCCGTGATTAAAGGTGATGGGCTATTGGACGGAGGTTCGGGTGAGACATTTGCAGAGGGCACAATTTGAGGTGGGGAATCACTTAAATTTGAATTGTGAGAGA